CTCTCTATGTAGTTCAGGAAGTCACAATGTTGACTGGCCTGGCTTTGAACTCAGAGAGATTTATTTGTCTGTACCTCCCGAGTGCTGGGATTGAAGGTGTGGGCCACCACAGCCAGACTTTGCCCTGTTCTATTTAAAAAAAGATTAGGTATTCATGATGTATGTATGCCACAGCACAATGCCCAGGTCAGGGGATAACTTTGTGGAGATTTTCTCCTTCTACCTTTATGCGGGTTCTGGGGTTCCAACTCAGGTTTCGAGACAGGGTATTTTCTGTTGTCCAACTGCCCATGAACTTGTTGCAGTCCTCCCAGCTCACGAACCCAGCGTCATCAGTGCTGTGATCATTGGCGTGTGCCACCACAACAGCTCAGAATCCACATTCCCCAAATTACCCTTCATATGCATGGGGTTGCTATCTTCCTAACATATACACCTCATCATGTCACTTCCTCTTAAAGCTTGATTCCTAGTGCTTATAGTAAAGTCAACCTTTCCATTTCTATTCGAGTCTTTCACTGAGTATTCTTTCTCACATTCAGTGCCTTTGTCTCAGTTACCTGTCCTTTTTGATTACATTCTACTCACTTTTTTCTCTCCTTTAAAAAAAAAATACAGGGTTTCCTTGTGTAGCCCTGGCTGTCCTAGAACTCGCTCTGTAGACCAGGTTGGCCTTGAACTCAGAGATCTGCCTGTCTCTGCCTCTGGGATTAAAGGCGTGCATCACCACTGCCCTGCTACTCATTTTGAAAATGTCGAAAAACTCATCAGACTTGCTCACTTAGAACTCCAAAGTCATATAGTATGATGTTCACGTTTCTAATACAATTAGTCACTTTGTTAATAATTCAAATTCTTTTAAGCTTCATGTAGACCATTCATTCATCAAATATTTACTGAACGTTTTGTGTAGACAAAACGTCCTGTTCCCAATGCCGAGGATATACCTGTAAATAAAAACACCAGGTTGTGGCGAGAACTACAAAGAAACCGTCCGGTGGGTGTGATTAGCTGTGCAGTCAGGGGCTGGTTTTCTGGAATACTTTGAAGTGATGAATTTCAGAGTGACTCAAAAAGGAAGATATTCTCGAGGTCGCAGGAGTCGCTGGAGGCAGAAACTAGCTGATGTGGTTCGAGAGACACTAATGAGAGCCCGAAGGTGTTTCATGAAGCCCAAGCTCCAAGCAAGATTGGGGCTTGAATGAAGGTTTCCAAGGCCGACGCGGCCCCCGGGTGCAGTAGGACTGAGGCAGGCGGGGACTGCCACGCTAGCGCTCAGGGTGGGCACCCTAGGTGGCTGTTTCAAGTAGTGATACAGAATCTCCTTTAGGTTGTTGACCGCCTAAGGATCAGACGCAGGAAGCCGGGGACAGTCAGATGCAGCGTTCACGAAGTGCAGTGACGGGGACTCAGTCCTGAGCAGCAGGCGGAAGAGGCGGACAGCGCCTCCTGCAGTGGGCTGCCGGCCTGCTGCGCATGCGTACGCCTGCTCCGAGCGCCAGTCCGTTACCGCTCCGGTGCCTAGAAGGGGCGGGGCCGGGCCTGGACGCCGGAAGGGGGTTGGCTAGGCGGGGCGAGGAGGAGGAGGCGGCGGTATCTGCGCGCGCGCGCGCGGGTGCGAACGGGAAACGCCGCGAGGGCCAGGCCGGGCGGTGGAGACGACGGACGGTGACCATGGCCGCGACAGCGGGCGGCGGTCCGGGAGCGGCAGCAGGCGCCGTGGGTGCAGGGGGTGCGGCGGCGGCCTCGGGCCTGGCGGTGTACCGGAGGAAGGACGGGGGCCCGGCCAGCAAGTTTTGGGAAAGCCCGGACACAGTGTCCCAGCTGGATTCGGTGCGAGTCTGGCTGGGCAAGCACTACAAGAAGGTGGGTTCGCGCGCGCCTGTGGGGACCGCGGAGCCACGCGACAGGGGCTGGTGGTGGCCGCGGGCCTGGCGAGCCTCGGGCCGCCCCTCCCCCCCTCCCGCGCCACGAGGGACAACAAAGGCTGGCTCGGCTCTCGCCACGCCCCCGCGGGCGGCTCTAGACACGCGGCGGGACGGGCCCTCGGTGCTGGCTCTCCCGGGCCCACGCTCTCGGGTGGGAAGCCCTAGCTCGCTTGCTCCTCGGTCCAGAAGCAGGTGGAGCTGGGCAGAGCCGCAGGGCGTGCGTCCCTGGTCTTTTGTTAGCTGCCTTAGGTGTGTGAACAAAGAGCGTGCAAGGCTGAGCCCAGCATGGTTAAAAGTAGCTGGAAGTTTTGTTTAGATAACCAGTTTCTAAGTGGTTCCGTAACTAAGGGCTTGCTGTCCGGTATGGATTCGCTGAGGGACCTTGGCTGATTGGCCTTGCGAGTTACGTAGATCTAAACCTTGGGATAGGATTGATACAGGATTATTAAAAGTGATGGCTTTTCACTTCATTTATTGTACTTTCGGTGATGTGTAAAGATGTGAGTACAAAAGTTAACGTCCTTCAGCGGGAACTCAGTTTATATCATGTCTTCTTTGTAATGTTTATTTTTTTTTAAAACCTCCCGTGTGTCTCCTAATTTCGCATGCACATTCTGCTGAGTCAGCTGTTTTACAAAGTTGTGAATTAACCCTTTGTTAATTTGTTTTCTTTAATTACATCTATTTTTTTGGAGGGGTGCATCCCATTCCTGTGTAGATGTCAACTTAAGCGAATTGATTGTCTCATAACACCAAATGGGTCCAGGAATCGAACTTAGGTCATCAGGCTTGGTGATGAGTGCCTTTACCTGTACATTCACCTCACCGGCCTCAGTAATGGGTACAGTAAGTTTCCCCACTATGTAAACGCGGAAGAACGACTCCCTTAGATGATACAAGGAAACAGCCGAACCCTTCTCCGCAACTCTCAAATTCAGTAGTGTTCACCCGAGAATGGGTGTTTAGATTTGGTCTGGATCATAGTTAATAGTGAACTGTCTTATCCTGTATAGTTGTTGAATGGAAAGTTAAAGTAGGATTTAAGTCATTTTGTCGAGTATTGGCTAACATGGGTTAGGTTCGGGGTTCGAACCCCAGCACCTCATTAAAACCAGTCATGGTGGTTCTGAAGTCCTTTGAGAGGTAGAAGCATGAAGATCAGAAAGTTCAAGGTTATTCTCTGTTACACAGGGAGCTTGAAGCTCGATGCAGGCCTGGACAACCAACACAAGACCCTGTCTCAGAAAAGTAAAAATGACACACTAGTCCCTGACCAGTTCGCTTGGGGTCTGCTGCTTGGTGAACAGTTGGTGATTTCAGAAGTGACCGTGTCTCTAAGGCTTTAAAGTCAGAAATAGTGTTGACTTATTTGTGCTTGGTGTACACCAAGCATTTCTCTCCTCCTCCTCCGCTCTTCAAGGTCTCACTGTGTAGCCCTGGCTGTCCTGGAACACACTATGTAGACCAGGCTGGCCTCAAACTCAGGTCTGCCTGCCTGTCACCTGAGCGCTAGAATTGTAGGCATGAGCCACCGCTCTGGGTTCACTAAGCATTTCTATTGTATTTAACAATGTATTTAGAACATACAAATTTAAAAATGTATTTCATTATGTGTGTGACTTTCATGTGGGTGTCCACAGAAGCGAGAAGGGGTATCTCCCTAATTCCTCTGGAGGAACTGGAGGTAAAGGCAGCTGTAAGCTACATGGTATGGGTGCAGGGAACTCAGCTCTGGTCCTTTGGAAGAGCAGCAAGCACTCTTATCTGCTGAGCCATCTCCAGCACCAGACGGAAATTTAAATCTCAGCAATTAATATGAAACGAATGAGACATTGAAGTCTCTTTAATTTGAGACCAGCCTGTCCTACATAAGACGTCAGAAAAACAAAAGACAAAATTGCTATAGCTCCAGAACTCTCTTTGTGACCTCTGATGGTCAACTCCTTTCTGATCCTCCTTCCTTTCTAGAGTTGTGGGAGGATGAGGATGAGCCAGGACAGTGGGCCAAATAAGGTTTTTTTAAAAAGTTTGTTTGTAGGGGCTGGAGAGATGGCTCAGGGGTTAAGAGCGCTGACTCTTCTTCCAGAGGACCCGAGTTCAATTCCCAGCACCCACATGGCAGCTCACACCTGTCTGTAACTCCATTTTCAGGGGACCCTGACACCCATGGCAAAAACACAAATGCACATAAAAATAAAATATATTTAAAAAAAAAAAAGTTTGTTTGTAGTTTAGATGTGTGAGTGTTTTGCCTGCATACATGTCTGTGTTCCAAAGTGTGTTTGGTGCCCATATAAGCCAAAAGGATCATTTGGTCATCTGGGCTTTGAATCATCTGGACCTGGAGTTGATAATGTTTTGAGTTCCCACGTGTGTGCTAGGAGTCAAACCTAGATACTCTGGAAGAGTAGCCATGATCTGAAGTGCTGAGAGTGCTTTCCCTCTCAGCTCTATCAAAGATTTTGCATTTAATTCATTAATTATGCTTTCCTTGCCATGAAACTACCTCCTGTCTCTACTATTGGTTTGCCCTTTTTGTGTGCGTGTGTATGGGTGCTTTTCCTGCATGTATGTATGTGTACCACTTGGATGCCTGCTATCCTCAGAGGCCAGGAGAGGGCATGGTTTGTCCTGAGATGGAGTTAGACATCTGAACTGCCATGTAGGTGCTGGTAAAATCATCTAGTCTTAACTCCTAAGCCATCTCTTCAGCATACATTGTCTGCTTTTAAGTATGCACATGTAGGGCAGGCTTTGGTAGCATATCCCTTTAATCCCAGCACTCTGAAGGCAGAGACAAGTGGATCTCTGTGAGTTCCAGGACAGCCAGGGTTACACAAAGAAACCCTGTCTCGAGAAAAGAAAATACATAAAAATTATGCACATGTGTGATTTTTATGATTTTTTTTTTTGCAGTGGAGAATGGTGCTTCATAACATCTAAAATTTGGTGCAGTTCCATTATTTAATAGGTAGTAGGAAGTAAGGTTCCTTTCTCTTCAGCGTCATCTGTAGCGGTATTTGAATCCCTGTCTTTTTCTTGCAGTATGTTCATGCGGATGCTCCCACCAATAAAGCGCTGGCTGGACTGGTGGTACAGCTTCTTCAGTTCCAAGAAGATGCCTTTGGGAAGCATGTCACCAACCCAGCTTTCACCAAACTACCTGTAAGTACATGAGTACATGATACGTAGGAACTTGTCGGGAGGGAGGGTTTTTTTTTTTTTAGACGGGTTTTTCTGTATAACAGCTCTGGCTGTCGTGGAACTTGGTCTGTAGACCAGGCTGGCCTTGAACTCCTGTCCCCGAGTGCTGGGACTAAAGGTATGGACCATCACTGCCCAGCTCAGTTTTTGTACTTTGAAGTGTCACCTATGGCTGATTTCCCTTGCTGTTGCAGTGGGGCTGGGGGTGGAGGTAGACACACCTGTAAGAGAAGTGTTTTGTTTGTTTTTGAGACACGCTCTCACATAGCCCAGGGTGGTCCTGGAAGTGCCTCTGTATTGAAGGCCGATCCTTTTGTCTCCACTTCCATGAGCTGGGATTGCAGGCAGGTGCTGTCATCCTCAGTGTAGGGTAGAATTCTCGCCTGCTGTGTCATTAATGTGTTTTAGACTGCAGTAATCATGAAGACTTACTGTTTTGTGTTATGTTGCCATAGTCTCTGCTGTGCTGTACATACTGACTCTTGTCCGTTAGAATCTTGTGGCAGCCGGGCTGTGGTGGCGGCGCACGCCTTTAATCCCAGCACTGGGCAGGCAGAGCCAGGTGGATCTCTGAGTTCAAGGCCGGGCCACAAACTGAGATCCAGAACAGGCACCAAAGCTACAGAAACTGTCTCAAAACAAAACAAAAAAAAGAGAATCTTGTGGCAAGAATACTTTTTGTATTTGTTTGGTTTTGATATTAGTTTATTTTATGTACATTGGTATGAGGTGTCAGATCCCCTGGAACTTGGAGTTAACAGACGGTCATGTTGGTGCAAGGAATTGAACCCAGGTCCTCTGGAAAAGTAGCCAGCGCATTTAACCACTAAGCCTTCTCTCCAGCCCCTTGTGTTTTTTGTTTTGTGTTTTTAAATTAAAAAATTTCAAATGGCTGAGCGAGAATGCCCGCCTTTAATCCCAGCACTGGGAGGCAGAGGCAGGTGGATCTCTTGTCAGTTTGGGGCCAGCCTGGACTACAGAGAACAAAATCCTCTCTCCAAAAAAAAAAAAAAAAAGTCAAGAAAAAAAATTGAATTTAATTTATTTACGTAGCCTGTGATTATTGTGTGGGTGTGGGCACATGGCTGCCACAGCATGCATGTGAAGGTTAGGGTGACTTCAGGAGTCGGTTCTTCACCATGTGGGTCACAGGGGCCAAACTCAGGTCATCAGTATTGTTAACCAGCCCCTTGACCTGCTGTCCTCTTCCGTACACAAGGTAAGTAAATAAATGTATAAAAAGACAATAATAACGGACGTCTGTCCTCTGCAGTCAGACACCTGAAGTGCTGTAGGGCAGAGCCAGGGCAGTGGTAGGATTGTGCGGACCTGAAGACCCTTTTTCTTTCCTAGGGCTTTGTGTGTCCTGGACAGGTTCTGTAATAATCCTGTTTGACCGACTCACTTCTAAAATGACGTCAGGGGCCAGTGAGATAGATGGC